ACACCATAGTTTTAGTACTAATATAGAACGTGTGAAGCATGACAAAAGCATTACCCCTGCGCTAGCCAGCGATATCCCCACGTCTTTCATTTACGAGCAACGCGATATACTAAGAATTGAGATATAAGCATAACAGGAAGTTCGAGAGGCTTCAGCGGTAGGTGATTATAGTAGCGCTTGTAATGCACGCTTTTCAAGAAGCTTGATCTACCTGCATTCTGTAAGAAACACGGGGGAGCCAAACCTTACTGTTTTGCGATTATTGTTCGAGTACTTTTAAAATAACGACCATTTAGAAAGCATCACACTCTGGAACACTATTGTACGAAAACGAGCTGTCAAGGCTAAGCAGGCAGATGATGAAGCTGACAATTATGCAGATAGTGTTGAAGATGAAACTGAAATAGCGCGTAGGGGGAAATATGAAGATAACTCTGTTCATGGTTTTCTTCATTGATTGTCGTGATTTTATGGGTACTTCTGATGCTCAATTTGATAGTGAGTCGACTGCTTGTAGGTATTATTATACTTTTACAATAGCGAAGTCAATATATTCAAAGCGCGCCAAACATTTCCAACCGCACTTAAAGCAGCAGCTTGTACACCACCTAAAACCAATGCTGTTCTCGATGTGCACGACGATGTCACCTTATTCATTGATGATTGTAATGAAAGGAAGGTTGAATCACTGATGTAGGTCTCGAATGATCTTCAATTTACATCCCTGGTGATTTTAAAAAGCGTACTACAACCAAAAATAATGTCATCTCTTGCGCAAATAGTCTTTTTGCCACGTAACAAAAGGTTAATGTAGGACGTCAACGGATATTCGAAGACACAACCATATGGTATAACAATGCGTACTGCAGGAGCTATTGGCAGAGTAGTAACCACTGTTGCAAAAACAATATTTGTATGCTATCTTTACGATAAATAACTCGCCTTCCGCTATGAATTGGAACATCACTTAATTTATGTATATACACCACGTAAAAAGCAGAACGGCCAGCTCACAATTTCACAGCGGAGAGTTACTGATGGTCGGTCAATTGCCAGAGAACGTATAAACGAATGAAAGAATTTAATTGCTACAGTGCTATAAATTATTTGCATGGGCGGGTACTTTCTTTTTTCGCGATAGACATTGCTAATCACATATACAGGCCGCCAGAGGTGTAGTAAATTTACAAGCCCAAATAACTGATCTGTGGCAAAATAATCCCGGCGATATTAATTCAGACTCTGAGAAGCCGACAATGCCGGTTGAGGATGATACTACAATGCACATACATGATGAAGCCACTACTTATCTAAGCTAGGGAATCAAATTAATAGAGATACTTATTTAGATACAGTCTGTGCTATTCAAAATAATCTAGATCCGATATTACATACATTTTCAATACTAGATACTTATATCTGTACTAAACTTTATTTCAGCGCTGTATGTCATAAAAGGATCGGTCTCAACTTGAGTTGGCGGTTGTCGTAGAGCTGCCCTGTCTGTTATCGACAATAAAATGAATTGATCAAGCACAAACGTGCACAGAAAATCACAACTATTCTTCACGAAATTTACTATTAGTTCGATCAAGGGTTGAGCATTTAATTAAGAGCCATTAAAACACTTTGTCCCGGTGTTATCGCATCAGTGAATCCCGCCGCACCAAGCTTGGTTACTCTCTCCTATACTAAACGCACGTGCACACAGTCAACATGGTCGTGGTACGGACTGAGTATTTTGTTTTCGCTGTGGAAAATCCTTGTATTAAAAATCAAGTCGAGCTTAGTATAGGGTGTTAAGCCTGAATAAGCTAACACAGTCAGAAGTGCCGTTATGAACGGCGCGCCTGCTATATTTATTGATCAATTTCATATGTGTGACGAAATTTTCTCTAGCAACGGGTAATATAAAAATACCTGGCCTCTTAGTTAGTAAATTATGACGACGTTAGGTAAGTCATTTATATTATCTCCTATTCATTTCTATATTATGCTATTCCGGTCGGTCATCTGGTCCGGTACTAAAATATTCTCTAGGTTCGGTCCTCTGGTCCGGTCCTGAATATCCACCTAGGGTACTTTGTCCACATCTTCGCCAATTTGGAGTCTGGTCTATCGACGAATTATTCCGCGAAAGATCTGCTACAAAATCGGAAATAAAATACAAGGGAAGTATCCTGTACACATCGTGAGGTTATTGCAACATCGTAAGATTAGCAATGTTGCAAAACGTGAAATATGAAGAAAAAGATCCCTATTTATCTAACTGTGAACAGACAAGCGTGCCTGTTGAATATTGATATATTGACTTTCTATTTATGTATATGTCGGGTTGTTTTGTTCAACTAGATGAATATCATAAAACTGGAACTGTTTTAAAACTTATTTCTATTTCTAGCACGATTATGTCCTTTACATGTTCCGCCTATACGTAATAATACTATACCAAATCAACACCTCTCAGGGCGACTCTAGCGACTGATGCAAGGTAGCCCGCTTGAAAGTGCGGTTACTCACCGACTCTTCAGTGCTCACGCAAAGTTCAATGCGCCGTGTTCTCTGTGGTTGCAGGCCACGGAGCTAGTGTACAGTTGCTCGCCTGCACTCTAAACTTATAGATAAACTTGCCACCCATGACGAACGCTTGTGTCTAACTACGCGTAGCGTCGTATTGCCGTGTTCTATTCCGATGTACTTCACAATGCTGCGGAGCAATATGCAATAGTAAAACAATTACGCCGCACCTCTGCACGTTCTTTTGGTATAAATCTTTATGCCCGTCGAATGTAGATGTGTCAGCTATTGTGAAATCTTAGGCGCAAGCTATGTATTTATCCAAAAAGACTATGTATTAATATTTATTAATCTATAAGATGTTATATCGTACATCTGTTTGTGTGTTGACAACACGCGCATACAGAACGGTCCTAACCCCGGTCAGACAAACCATCGTCCAAGGCTGCTTTAACCTTGTACGAGCCGTCGCTGTCTTCGACTCTCTCACGTCTGAATACGTTTACGATAAGCCGTCACCCATATAGAAAGCTGACAGTGTTTTACGGCATACGAATCTTCTAAGTAGCAATCGTGATGAATAGAGAAGTGATTTCGATATACTAGTACATCGATTGATACATTCGAAGTATCCTGATTGTCTTTCATTTCCTCTGGTGGGCGTGGGCGTCGATAGCGTTATAACTTCTCACGCATCCCGAGAAGGCTGCTGACTTCAGACCAATCGCATTAACACCGATATTCCGTAAGTTTTCATACTCACAATAATCCCCACTTTTCATAGGCGCCAAGCATTTGAATATAGCAGCACACAAGTAGGCTATAGAAACAGATACTCAGCCCTAGGCCACGCCCTAACCCTCACGAACGCATCACTCTAAGAATTCGACGACACTCGACGAAGTACAAACATCATCTGGCCTTTCTCGATCTCAAGCAAGCCTGTGATCGCGTAAATCACGCACGCCTCACCCAACTTCTCCGACAACGGGGAGCCCCAGAACTGAATAAAAAACTCCTATGAAAATACTGATATTCCGCCCATTGGATATATGCCTACACCATCACGATACTAGTGCTCTACGAGTTCTTATGAATAACGGCCACAACTGGGCGATCGACTCAGGAATGGAATTTAACAGACTCGAATGCAAATTCATCCCAGGCACTTGCACAGACATACCTCCTGACTCCGCTATGGGACTAATTCCGACCGTAAAATTATTCGAATACCTCGGACTACCATTCAAGAAAGACGGAATAATGTTTGGTACACTGATGCAATCCCTTGTTGCGCTAAGTGTTGCAATTCGCCTAGCTACCCCCTTGGGCTTCAACGCTGGACAGCAAACACACCCGTATGCAAAACTAATCCTATACAAAACATTCCTACAATCTAGAATTGTATATGGACTCAGCATCGTGGCGCTTGCGATACCCTGCATTACGCACAAACATGACATCCCCAGCCTCATCAAGTATCTAGATAATCTCATCCTCCAAAGTGCTGCCACGATCTGCAACCGTAAAATCTCTTTGATAATCAAGCGACCAGCAAACAAAAACATACTCTTACAGCTCACTGGACTCCTATAGAGCATGCGGCCCTAATCACCCCCTGAAAATACTGATATCCCGCCCATTGGTAAGAGTGCAACAATCAATCGAATCCAAACTACCCTGGCCTACCACGGCTCTGCACACGAGTTCTATCAATAAATACTCCACAAAGCTGAAGAACTCAAAAGAGAAAACAAGAACAGACCAGCAGCAGCCAACTGGCATATAGCAGTCCGCTCCCATAAAATATCAGCGCTACACAGAAATATTGCCAAGGACAGCAACTTTGAAGACTACGTCTTTAAACTTCGCTCGACGAGACCCATAATTATATAAAAATTATGGAAACTAAAATACCTTCTGGTACACCATAGACACCTCAACAACAGGAAAGCTCAGTGCCCTGTACATATCCCTACACTACTATCAGCATCACACACGCATTGTATTGAGGCAACCCTACAACGCCTCACAGGCCCGTTGCCACGCCACATAACGCCGACCCTCACTTGGCTAATAGACCACGACGCATGGACCCAAATGACATCCATACACGATCATCTTCGCCACTTATTGAGTATCCGACTCCCAGTTTCCACAAGACAGGCTCGAACCCAATTGCAGACATTGTTCCAATACACAGTTTTTATACAACCGATCCTAGAGAGTATTAGCTTTGGTGCTTTCACAGCAACCGCATACACACACTTCACTCACACCAACAGAGATACAATATATTCCACAGCTAAGCTCTATATGGGTGCCTGACGACAGAATATTGTCGATATATGGCTATGTAACACGGAAGCAGTTCACAGCGGTTGGCTTCCATCCCACACCAAAGAGCATGCTAAATGCAACTCTCCTAGCTATACTACTCCTAGTATGGCTCCCAAAGGTCATACACGGCAGACCTTCACGGTTAAACAACGGCAAACTATTCCTAATCGCAATAACCAGCCCTAATCTGAACCCACAACTAATTAAGCAATGGAAAGCTATAGTTCCACTACTTGTACAGATAACCATCCTATTGCCTGTCACAGCACATAGACAACAAATCCGTCCAGTGTTTTGGCATGGTAACACCACGATCACTGCTGGAATGGAAGTGGCTGCTAAGACGCACTACTAAAGTAGATGAAATTTGTTTTTCGCATACATAGTTAAATTCCTATGTATGCCACCATGGACCCAGTAATACTATTTTAACATTTACTATCTCCGCGTGATAGTACTACCAAGTTCTCGAGTCCATTCCATTACGCAAAAAATCTAACAAAAAAAAACTCCCTTGAACCTGTCCAGGAATTTCTTTGTGAGGGCGGAGCCTCGGAGGCCGAAGGGCCGGAGGCTATGGTGCACACATCCAAGAACCAGGTCTTTTCGGTTCATTTTAAAACCCGAATAACTTTTGAACTGCAGGTCAGAATTTTGAGGGGGGAAATACGTCAATGTCTTCGCCTTGACGAGAGCTATCCAAAACTGCAATAAAATCAATTTGGTAAAATGACATATGTATGTGATCCTGAGTCAGTACCCAAAATTTGAGTCATAAATCTCGAAATTTTTATTTACTGTGAAACTCTATATGGACATGTCTCGCATTCTACCATGCATCCTCTACGATAGGATACAGGTCTATTTTCCTTAGTTTTCGACTTGAACAGGGAAGTAAATTACCCTTAGGGACCTCTTCTTAAGATCAAATCTCTCACACTGCTCATAGCATATCATACCAACTCGTCGATTGCGTCCATTGATAGCCTTGAACACCCAAGCCTCGTTCCTTACGATCGCTATGTCTTGCAGTATAGTCATAGTCAGCTATGGTCAGTTGATCTCCAATCCGGAGTTGCGAACCATATGAGGTAAAGTGTAATCCGACTACATATATCGGGTCATTAGCCACCGTTTGAACTATCGGAGCTGAGTTATAGATATCCTCTGCAGCACCTAACTGAGTTGATATTTCCGGTTGGCTTTCTGTGCAGGTGTCAGCAACAGCACTGTCGAGACAGGCATCTTCATAAACTTTGTATGCCACTTGCATCATTTGATGGCAATCTATGTTTATCAAAAGAATCATCTGACATTGTTCTGATCCATACAGTGTACGGTTCTGTTTGTGTGTATACGAACGAACAATCAGTTCACACACATTTGTATTTAAATACAGACATGCGGGCTAGGGTTGAAAAATTCTAATTATTTTTATGTGACAGCACAAACTTTTAGACGCCTATTCTGAACACTTCAAACGTACTATCTGAAAGAATAAGCTGGACCGCAAAAGAGCATAAAAAGGTACGATGAAGTCAAGCGAACTAGGCCATGGAATTAAGTGCATTGTGTGTGAAAAGACAAGTTGTAAGTGTACCGAATTAGAACATGCAATATAACGTAAGCGTGTGTACCCGCTGGCTGATTGACGGTGGCATGTGCACGTGCGAGTTAGACATCAGATCAGAGTTTGCGGAAGCTGCATCGGACGATGGCGAAGAAATAGGAGATATAGTAGAGCCTATTATAACTGATGGATAATCAGCATATGGTGGCACCGATGTAGAACACGACGACAAAAAAGACGAGACTGACCTCTGGAGATACTATATACGATAATATCATATCCAAAGAACAATTTGAGGAATTCGACGAAGCTCTTGAAGTCATCCTGGAGTAGACAAACAACAGAAACAATGGAGGGCCTTGCGGATTGTGAGGATAAGTCTACTACTAGCGCGCTGCAGAAATGAACCTTGAGTAGTGTTGAGGTTACCGAGCGTTTGCGAAAACTGGAATCCTTCTTGAAAAACAAAGTACCATCTTCAGCTGAGAGAGGCAGATTACAAGCGATGCGTATGTACTTAGTGAAGTGTAGATAAGCAGGTTGTACTGCGAGAAGAGAGGGGAGGAGATTGGTCGTCAAGAATGCTCCGTAGAAGTAGCGAAATCCTTGCGTGGCGAGTGTGATGATACGCAGCCAAGTAGGTCGTTCAAAAATCGTGCTCAGATTATAGGCCAGGACTTTCATCTATGGGTCTCGGTGGACATTCTGTCGACCGAACTCAGAGGTAGTGCTACAAAATCATTTTCACTACTTAGCTAATTGGATATATCAAAATGGGGTGATACATACATCGCTGAGACAGAGGTATATAAAAAGAAACCCACAAGGTCTACGACTATATATATATATATCTACTGGAGAGAAGGTCTCCAAAACTACAAAACAGGTTTGGTGTGGATGTGGTCAGTATACATGCAAATACTGCGAGCTTATGGCTAATACAAAAGCGATGTACATTCAATTGTTTTTGTAAAAGATATGTATATTGATGAATACGAACGCGTTGATGTGATTGAAAACAGGACTAAATTCGTAGATAACTTCAGGGATACAGTGCTTCCCTTCCAAACTATATGTCGGTGATATATTGTAGGGTAAACGAAAGTCATCTACATCACCCATGATGAGATGACAGTTCACGCCAACGATGGACAGACCCATTGTTGGGGCCTACAAGGAGAAAATCCACTGATTGCAAAGGGACCGGCTAGCTCCCTCGTGAAATCAGAGTACTTAGGGGCCGACGGGGGACGTCTTAAGATTACTGAGGCAGAAATGCAAGACATGGAATCTAAAGGACTCCGGATTCCTCCTGCCAATGCTTTTATAGCACCTAGGAATGACAAGAGCGGCACGGGTAGTATTTACAACTGGTAAGAACCGTGATGGATGATTCTCTGGTAAAGACGTGACATATCAGCTGGAGACTCGCACAATTTCAATCATAAAAAACTTGTATACGGACAACGATGTGGTTGAGGGAGTACAGGTCTCAGCCCATGTTTTACAGCAAGAAACCCATCTTTGATTTATGAAAGTCATCAGAGTTAGCTCATTCCCGAGAGCTAATCAAGTAGCTTAAATTACTCCCGAGAATCGAGTTAATACTTAACCGACTCCCTAGAACAGATTGGATTTTTCAACGAACTCCCGAAAGTGGATTAAGTCTGCCAACCGCAGCATTCTAAAAATAGCCGCTATTCTATTTCGACTTCTCTGCAACAAAATCTCCCGCCGAAGATTCTTGTGCCTGCTTGAGAGACTACAGGTCTCAGGCCAGATTTTACAGCAAGAAACCCTCTTTGATTTATAGAAGTCATCAGAGTTTGATCACTCCCGAGTGTTAATCAAGTAGCTTAAATTGCTCCCGAGAATTGAGTTAATACTTAACCGACTCCCTAGAACAGATTGGAATTTTTAACGAACTCCCGAAAGTGGATTAAGTCTGCCAACCGCAACATTCGAAAAATAGCTGCTGTTCTATGCGAGTCACAACCAATGCGGAAAGGCGTCATGTGATCAGCGTGAGATTTTGTTGCAGAGAAGTTGAAATAGAATAGCATCGAAGTGTTAAAGTGTTCTGCATAAGGTTTATCATACTGACCATAAGAGTTTTTACCCTGTCCAGCCCAAGCGGCTGAAGACTAGCACAAACACCTTGCGTATAAAACCAAAAGCGAGGTCAGAAATAAATACATACATTTGCACTTTGTTTAAAAGTCTACTACATTGTTGTACTCTAACAACGAAAATGTGGGTCAAAGGTCCGTCGTGAAAAATAAATATGCGGAAGTGAAAAAGTAATAAATAAATAAGAGGAAGTCCCTTCATTGCGCGCTTGCTGTTGTGGTGTGCTGGTTGCTGTTGTTGTTGGTTGCGATTGTGGTGTTTGTGATGGTGTAGCATGCTTGATCGCAGGAGTAGTGACTGATAATGTCTGTGTGTACAGTAGTGACCATAGTGACACATGATACCCTCTCTGATTACGATTCAACTATATTGTGCGCCCACCATGAGAGATGATATAGTGGCAAGTATTCGTGGGCAAAGTAAGGTGGAACCCGGGGTCTTGCAATTGGTTCTGCGATGGATTTCGTCTGTACCTACATAACTCAGTCCTAGACCAGGCAGGATACCACGACGAGTAATAAATATTACTCAGTCATCAGCTAGGCGTAGTGGAAAACTACCCGGTTCTATTTTGGTAAGAAGATGTGCAAGTCTATTGGGCATATAGTTGACCCCAGCAGCACTGTCGATCTGTAGCTTGTCTCTTTGACGATACATAGTATTGTCGATTGTATTAGAGACAATAAATAGTACTAGTGAACAAGGAAAATTGTCTTCAATGGTACGTTTACCGCAAACAATATCTTTGTGGCCCTTTGCTTGACAGTTGTCACACACTAGTGAGCCCGCAAAGCAGTCCTTGTTCATATGAATCTTAGTGCTACAGTGGCCACATCCACGCATACAAACATTCGCAGTGTGACTGGTAGACCATCATACAAAGCAAGGTGTACGGCCAGGTGGGAGTACTATGGCTGTTGGGATTGGCCGATGTACCTACGAGTTTATCAATGCGTTTCAATATTTGCTGGATAATGGAATTGGTAGGGGATGTAGCGCCTTTGGTTGGGTGAGATGGGCGGATAGCAGCAACTTTCGGATCCTGAAGAAAGTCAGGCTTGGTCTGCTCCATAGTTTCGAGTGCTTCCATATATGTAGCGGGGCAGAAGTAGACCTAGTGTCACGATTAACCAAGAATTGGCGGGATTCTTCTTGTTCAGATCAAAGTGAAGGACAGTAAGAAAATAACCATAATCACAAAAGTCATGTGCTAGAATAAGTGCTTGATGCTCATCAAGTCCCTGAAGATTGGTGCAGCATGTGACCCAGGTGCGCATGTGCTCATCTGCGTCGCGTTCAAAATTGCAAAGGTACTGGCGGTTGATGATATTGTATTCCGTTTTGGACATGCGGCCATATTCCTGGAGGAGGTGAGCGAGGAGAACCCATGGTGGGGCAATGAAAAGTCCCTGGTTAAGCGAGTCTAATTATTTCATCGGAAGGGGAACTCATAAGGAGATATTGCGTCTTATGGTAAGTGGTGTCTGCCTGGTGTTCATCGATGAAGGTGCTTGCTAGCAATGTACGCTGAAGCGTGGGGTGGCGGAGGGGTGTACGAGCATGGAGGTGCTCGGTTTTGATTGCTGCTGAGACCCGTTGGGAATTGGTGTTTGCAATTTCTTCGAGTGTCTGATCGAGTAAGTCAAATATATGGGCCAGCAGTTTGTTCTAACCGGCGATAGAGTTAACCTTCATCTTGAAGTCCTTCAGGACGATGCGTATTGAACTGACCCATTGGCTGAGCTTGTCCCATCATTTATATATCGTGGGCGTCGGGGATTGTAGCGTGCTTCATTCAGGGGGTCCTTGAGTGTCTGGAGCTCGATGGGGCTCTTGTTTAGTATCTTCGCCAGACTATCCAAGTGTCGGAAGTCATACTCGTCGGGAAGCTTCTCACTCCGTGGGCCATAGACCGATGAAATGTCGGTCTTAGAGAGCTGTTCCGGAGCTTGAGAAATGAGAAACACCACCGGGTAACGTACTTTAGGTAGGTCTAGCTGGAACGTTAGAGGGGACGTTGATTGGTCCCAGGAGATACCGATAAGGGTTTCCTGAAGGTGATCGAATCCGAAAAGGGCCTCGCATCCACGGGGTAACCAGTCGGAGATAAAGAAACTCACCGGTTTGGTTTCGTAGAGGGTAGGGGTGCCATTAGCGGCTCGAACATTGAAGAGTAATGTAGAACTAACTTGCTGATTGGGAGTGGCTTGACTATCCCCACCAAAACCATGTAAATAAACAGGGGAGATGGCTTCTATCTGAAAATTTAGAAATCCCGGTCAGTCTAAAATATCAAGATAAAAGGGATAACACATTAGTTTTTATTTGGATTTAAAAAATTTAATACAAGTTCATTTTCCAATATTTTCAAAGTGTTCTAAATTCACTTTGATGGCTCCAATAACCTGAGTATTCGGTATGACTTATTTACTTGGACCTATTTGTGTAAAAATAGCGGGTTCCAAATAATAGTTGCACAGTTAACGTATATTATAAGCGTATAAACGTATAAACGTTTAAACTTATAATATTACTGGAATACGTTTAACGAATTGGACATGAACAAGAACTGAGAAATTCAAGATTCTGAACATGTGACAGTACTCAGTAGAGTATGGGACTCTACTGTGGACAATTAGGTGGCTTTCCAAATATAGATTGGGTTTTCCACTGAAATAAATTTGATTCTTCCTAGCCAGCCAACTAGATGTGCCCGTCTATACCTTAAAATGGGATGGGGAGCTAGGTACCAAGTGATGGGGTCTAGGTGCAGATGTATACTGCACCAACAAGGTGTTTTGATTTTTATTTATTTTTCAAGTTGGACTTAGAGGTATTTTATTGGTTAGTTTGATTGGGTGATTGTTTCGAGGCGTGAAATGTAAACTACGCGTCTAATGAAATGATATCTAGTCTTATTGACTAAAACATAAATAAATCTAGACCAAAGTAGTGAGTGATTAGAGCGGAGCATATAGACAATAGTCTCGGTCTAAAATCCCCTAATCGTTTGCTCATTATCAAGGGTTGAAGCTAAACTTATTTAACATTTTTGCATTTTAACGCATTAACGCATTATTTTATTAACGTAAACGTCTTGGTATCGTATAGTCAGCCTAGAGGAGACTTACTTTTACATTTGAGACGATAGTAGATTTAGTAAATTATATAATCTCTGAACTACTACTTACAGGTTTTGGTCTTCCCGCTAATATCCAAAATCCAATGTCTTTTTTCTTTTTTTAACTTTTCTTCAGATGGAACATTTTTATATTAGCTAATGTATTAACTTGACTTTCGTTCTTATATCTATCTACAAATTTGGCATGTGGTCATGAACACTTAGTACTTGTAGTAAAAATTATTCAATAAAGAACAGCTAGAAGTACGTCCTGTGTGATCGAGGGTATTAAGGCACTTACCAAGAGGCAGTCGCAATCATTCTTACACAAGCTACCACTGCTAAATCATCACTGACTTATAGTGTATCTTAGTTTATTTAACATAGTTTCAAACATAGAAATTGTATATCCATCGAATTTTACAGAAGTAGCATTGCTGGCTTCGAGCCAGTGTCAATGTATTTCGGTACGTCCGCTTGTTCACAAACAGCCGGGACTACTGGGCCCTTTCATTCATGTTTATCCAATGTGGGCTCACAGTCCACTGTGTCTAGTGTTGTCTCATCATGCTGTGTCGTCTTGACATGCTGTGTCGTCTCATTATACTGTGCTGTCGTGAGTAGTGTAGGGGACGGTGGTAGAACAGCATCCACTGTACCATCCTGTGCAATGGATTGGGTCTCGGTGTGTGCGGGTGCTGTGCCTGCTACATGGTATGTCCGTGCCAGTGATGAACGGTGAAGTATCATCCTTAGTGTCGGGTACTGTTGCAGCCGCGGCCGTAACCTTGTGAGGGCAGCGCCGGAAATAGTGACCAGGTTGCTTGCACGTATGACATATAGGGCAAAGCTTATCCGCATGCCGGAGGTGGTATTTGTAACAAGTTGGTATGTCTGTGCGTGTCGAGTCCTGTGACTGACGGCGGCCCGCACCATAGCGGTTGTCGCGGGGCGCGGAGTTTTGGCGTGTGTCCCGGCCAGAGGAATCACGCCGCCTAGAGTTGTAATGATTGTTCTTGTGGTGGGAAGGAAAGCGTGGAACGGTAGGGTGTGTATCCACGATTATGCACATGGCGATCACGGTCACTTTTGTACCCCGAGTCACTTACTGGGCCGAGGTAGGAATCCATTTAGGTCGGAAGTGCCGGCGCTGAGGGTTGACGGCCAGTTAGGGGTGCGCCAGACATCGGTGGGCCTTCGAGACGAGTCTGGCCAAAATGCATACGGAACGTGGGTAGACAGCGGCCGTTAACCATCATCATCCATGAACATGGAAACCAGCAATCCCGCTGATGAAGGTAAATATATCGGTGGATAGCGCTTTGTTTCGGATGCTAGCGCCCAAGTGCTGTAAATGTAAAATTATCGTTATAGTTAATAAGGGGGCCATTAATCTGGGAAATGTCACTTGCAGTACGCAGATGCCAGCCCAGTGGTGCAGCAAAAGTAAACGGTTTACTCTCAGGAGGAGAGGAGAGTGGTCGGCGCTGAAGGTCGCGACGCCATGACTCAATGAGAGAGAGAGAGAGGTCTGCATGTGCATCATTGTGTAGAAATACGGCCTCCGGTCAGTCTAAAATACCAAGATCAATTGAGATAATACATTGGTTTTTATTTGTATTTTAAATAATTTAATACAAGCTCTTTTCCAAT